GCCGGGGCGGTGGGGCGACCCGGAGTCGCAGGTGGGAGGAGAGCGGGCAGCGCCTGGCCGCACGCTGGCTGGCTGGGCTGCGTCCTCCGCCAGGACGGACGGAGAGTGCGCCATGGGCAGAGGCGCTTCCCCGACCCGGGGAAAGCCGCAGCCGGAGGTGCGGGCGCCCCAGGCCCCGCAGCCATCCGTGGTCGCCGGGAGCCGGGCCACGCCGGCAGGGACACGAAGCCCTGGGCGTTTCTTTCCGAGTGACTCAGCGGCCACGCGGCGCGGGCAGGGCTCAGCCGGACACGTGCTGAGCGCCAGATGGATGTGGCCGCCGCTGGCTCAGCGGAGATGTGCGCCCCTGCTGCCCGGGGTGGGGGGGACAGTGAGCACGCCCCGCTGGACATGTCCGCAGCTGCCCATGGGCACAGGCGGCCACGTCCGGCTCAGTGAGCCCGAAGGAACAGTCCAAGACAGATGGGCGGCGGCTCCCCTGGCTCTGTGGCCTCGCTGTGCCCTCGGTCAGCGGCCCCTGGGCCAGCGAACCCTGGGCAAGCATGGAGGGAGGATGCTGGCCTGCCCCAGACTGGGGCGCCATAGTTGTGTTTCTGCACACCCAGAGCTGGGCACCTTCGAGTCCAGTGGCAGTGAGCAGCACGCCTCACCTGCGCCCACGTGTGCCTACCTGCACCCACCTAAGACCCACCTGCGCCCACCTGTGTCCACCTGCACCCCACCTGTGACTACCTATGGCCCACCTGTGCCCACCTCCACAGTGCCCCACTCCGCGTAGGTGGCAGAGCCTGGGCTGGCCGCAGGCAATGCCTCTATCAGTCGGGCTACTGACGATTTTCTGCAACCGAAGCAGCCTGCACATGTGGCTCACACACCGCCGGCTGGTGGCCTCACGACCCAGTGCTCACACACAGCAAGTGTGGCCGGCCAGGCGCTCTGCCGGGGTGGCCACCTGCTGGAACCCAGGGAGGTATCCCTGCCCCTGGGAGATGTTGGGCGGATGTGGTGGGGCCTTGGCAGCACCCACCCCTCCCGGTGGAGTCTCCACACTGGACAGTGTGGGCCTGGCGGGCAGAGGCCCAAGCCCCCCCCCCCGGGTCACAGAGCACTGACCATCCGCTTTGGATTGTTGTGTGGCCAGCGTGGGCCATGTTTGCTAAGGAGCTAGAGCCGCAGGCGGACGCCTGCCAGCTGGGCTGTGAAGCCCGGGCCGCCTGGGCCGGGGGCTGCTCAGGGGAGCAGACCCCACGCCTGGGCGTCCGGATGCCAGCGCCTAGATCCCTTTTTCTCTCAAGAATCTGACTCCCTCTGGTTTTGCGTCTCATTAAATAGGGGCTCACATATTAAGGGGAGACATCAGTGAAAATAGGCATGGCCCAAATAGGCAGTGAGAGCAGAGGCCGCCCTGTCATCCTCCGTGGCTACGGGGCCAGAGCCCGCCACCTGCGCCTGCCACCTGACCCCAAGGGCCCTGCTCCATGGCTCCGAGCCAGCCACTCCGTGGGGCTGGGGTCGTGGCCCTGGCTCCGCAGTGAGGCGCCTGCCCCCGGCTGCTGCAGGTGGTGACGTCGCCCGTTTCACTGTGCGGGGTGACCCAGCGGGCCCCCACGAGCGCCTCGGGGCAGCGCCGGGAGGGCTCCGTGTGGCGAGCTGGTCTGTGCCACCCTGTCGCTCTGCAGGGGAGGTCCCGGGAGCCCGTCCTGCCCGAGGGACTGGGGCCGAGGGCCGGGCCAAGGCAAGCCCGCGCCAGAGCTCGGCCAGAGGGCCTGCAGCTCCCAGTTCGCCAGCTGAGCGCTCAGCAGGGCTTTGCACTCGTGACACCTCGAGGCGGCGGCCCGCCGAGACGGGGACGCCTGTGGCCACTCTGAGACAGCGCGGGCTCCGCGGGGCGGCCCCGGGCCCGTGGGCAATGCGGCAGAGGGCTCCCAACCACGGGCCTGCCCTCACCGCATGACCACGAGGCGGAGCTGGTGTGTCCTCCACCAGTGCACCTGGGGCGGGGCCGCTGTCCTCTGGGCCCGCCCACCACCGGGTCCACTAGATGCCTGCAGTCAGGCTGGTCCTGGTGCCGCCCGTCCCCCTTCAGAGCAGGAGGACGTCAGCGGCGTGCCCCGGCCTGGGGTCAGCGTCCCTTAACTGGGTTGTCCACAAAGGCCTCCTGGGTATGCGGCCATTCACAGCCGGGGCAGCAGGACTGGTCAGTGAGCTGGGCTAGGTCACAAGGCAAAGGTCGGCCAAAGCAGCCCACCCATGTGGCCGAGGGGCGGCACAGCGGTCTCAGCGGCGGCAGGCTCTGCTGGACACACCTGGGGTGTGGAGGCGTGGGAAGGGTGGGAAGAGCACCAGTGGGAAGAGCCGGTGCCCAGCGGGGGCACGCCCAAGCCGCTCACCTCCCTGGTCAGCTCTGGCCTCCGCGGCCCTCCGAGATGGGCCCCAAGTCCCTGGTTTGTGAGCCTGGACAGGGCCCTTTAAAAAGCCTGGGTGCCTCTGGGAGATCATGGACGGTCATGGTGGTCATGGATGGTCATGGATGGTTGCGGGTGGCCCTGGGTCCCCCTGGGAGGTCACAGGTGATCACGGACAGTCATGGGAAGTCATGGGTGATCACAGGTGCTCACGGATGATCACAGATGGTCCTGGGTCCCCTGGAAGGTCTAGTCAGTCACTGTGGAGGGTCCTCGATTGCCCTGCAGCCCTAAAGGGCGGTCAGGCAGGCCCTGGGGCTCTGCGCCCCTATGAGAGAGCCGCCGACCCTGCTCCCTGCTTGGCTCTGAGGTGCGCGGCTGGCTCTGGGAGGCCTCGGGTAGCCCAGACAGGCACGGACAGCCTGGCGCACTGGGCAGCCCGGAACGGCTGGCGACGGTGTCTGAGGGCGGTGACCGCACCCCCAGGCGTGGGCTACACGGTCATCCTCATCTCGCTCTACGTGGGCTTCTTCTACAACGTCATCATCGCCTGGGCCCTGCACTACTTCTTCTCCTCCTTCACGCTGGAGCTGCCCTGGACCCACTGCAACCACACCTGGAACAGCCCCAACTGCTCCGACGCGCCCGCGGCCAACGCCAGCGCCGGCCTCGGGGACGCCTTCAGGACCACGCCCGCCGCCGAGTACTTCGAGTAAGTCTCTGCGCCCCGCTGCGGGGTGCTGAGGCGCGCGCCAGCGCCGGCAGAGTGCAGGC